AAAAAAAAATCACTGATGAAATGGCACCGCAGGAGAATAATTTAATACTGACAGCCAAAGCGCTACATGCACGGTATACTCGAAGCAAGCACGGTACCTCGCCCAACCTTGAAGGCAGCATTCCGGCAAAATCGTAGATACTGGAAATTTAGGCGCTACAAGACTCCCAAATAACCTATCAGTGAAGTAGCGAAAAAGGGCGTCAAATCTAAAATCCACTAAGTCCAGACCCAGGCTCAAAAAAGTTCATGTTCGCCACTTTCATGCGCTGCAAAGCCCAGCTATAAATTCAGCATAGCGAGACCCCGAAAGGTGAAAACTGGAGAACAATATTGCAGGGAATCTCCAAAAAGCGACTGTCCAGTGGATATCAGCGCCGCAAATGATACCTGCGGTTGCGACGGTATAACCTGGGAAGGAAACAACTTACCGTGAAATTATATCGCTTCTGGTTCTCTTCCAAGTATCGCATACACGTTTCACTAGCACCAACGACACGAACTCCGCAGAAGAGGTAGTTTGCAATCTCGCATACTTCCATTTCACCTTTCTCCCTGAACAGATTCGCTAAAGATTTACATAAGCGGAAAGCCGCTACAACAATTACAATTAAAGAATACCATGTGGATTCAGAAATGTAAAATTCAAAGAAAGAGGAAAAGAAGGACCTAAGAAGACAAATAAAAGAAAAATTTTTATGAACCCGGATTCCAAAAATATATTTACGAACCTGGATTCCATTTTTGCATCTTCCATAGCCTGTTCGAGTCTTGACGATGCATTCACTCTTACTGTCATCATTCCACTCCTGATTAGTTGATTGCATTCGTGCATGGCTTTGGCACGAGCATCTACTATCCGCAATGCTGAAGATAAAGACTGAGTGAAAAATCTCATTGTCAGCAGGAAATTCTGCAACTTGCCATCATCAAAACTAAGAATTCCTCCAGCAACAAGTGCAGCAAATTCTCCAACGCTGAAGCCGGCTACATCGGTAATACGGTCAGCTATACTTTCGTCAGAGGCCTTATACTTTTCTAAGGTTGCTACTGATGATACAAATACAGCTGGTTGGCAATAAAGGGTCTGGTCCAGCCTGGATATTACCATCGATAGCAATCATATGAGGTAGGTGGGAACTTACTTTGTCTTTGGCCCCTCTATACACAGCTTTAAGATATCATATCCAAGAATTTCTGCAGAACGATCAAAAATGGCTTTTGCTTGGGGACAATCGGTGAGCTGAATGAACAGAAAAAACAGAAATAATCTTTAAAATGAAATGCAAAATAATCTCTACCTTGCTTCCCATGCCTACATACTGAGCACCTTGACCAGGAAACAAGCATACGATTTGGTCTTCCAAAGGAATATGGTCAAAATT